TTTACTCATGATCCAGGTTTCTAAATTCTTGATTTACTGCTAAAAAAGTTGTTCCTAAACACCACATTTTTTTGGGAAAAGCCATCTCCGGATTAGGAGATGCTGGTAGTTGACACCCACYCATCTTTTCCTCCAGCCCATCCCAGCAGAGCTGGCTCTGGCCCGGAATCGCATTGCTGGGATGGCTGCAGAGGATGGGCAGACCTGGATTTTTAGCAGCACCGCCTGCTCGTACCTTCACTTTCCACCTGAAGCCTCTGCCCCTGTTTTTATCCCAATTTCCTGAGCTGAGGCTGACAGGAGTTGTTCCCTTCTCTCGGGGTAACCCTGGTGACTTTGGAACCCTGAGTGCCCCAGGGACAGGTCCCTGTCCCAAAGCCAGCTGGAAGGCAGCCACCCTTCCCATCCTCCACCCTCCCAAAGGAACCCCTTGCTGACTTCCCAGGATTCTGAGTCTGCTGAATCCCCCCACAGCCGCTCCCAGCAATATCCCAGGGAGGTGCTTTCCCCTCTTCAGAGCAACAGGGCCCATTTGGGAACGTCTGGTTTGGTGTCCTTGTAGGAATCTGGCTCCTGGCAGCAGGGAAGGAGCTGGGCTTTCACCAAGCCCCATCAGAAGCCCAGGCTGCCTTTAGGGCRAGGAGGCAGCACTCACCCAATCCCAATTTATTGAAAGGAAAATCTGTTTTTGTTTTATTTTGGTGACAGGAATGTGGGTTGGTATGAGGCATGGCACCTTTGTAGGATCATGGGATGCACTGAGCTGGAAGGGCCCCTCTGGGATGATCCAGTCCAACGCCCACCCCTGCAAAGACACCCCAACAATCCCACCATATTCCCAAGAGTGCTGTTCACTTCCTCCTGTGCTTTTCCCAGGCCACACCCCATGATCTTGAACAGTTCACTGTCCACTGCTTTGTTCTGTCATGGCTCAGGGGTCAGAGAAACACCAGGAGGGGTGATATTGCCAGGGATCAGGGAAAGGCAAGCAGGGATGGTATCCCCAGCACACCCAGAAATCAGACTGGAACCCTCCTGTCCACAAGGACATACATTCCTTAAGGAAATCCATTCCAAAAAGGCCACTCCTCAGCTGGCAGAGATGTCCAGCACCACCACTGCAGATAAAGGAGAGGCCGCCTCTCTGTGGCCAAGGTTTTCCTCATTGAACTTTCTCTTATCTCTATAAAAGCCAGGTTTGTGGCTTCTTATTCCCCACAGCCCCAMGAATTTCCAAGCCCACATAAAACTTTGGTTTTTTCAAAGCTCCTGGCCTGTT